AGGAAGGGATGGAGAAAGGGAGAGAGAGAGGAGGGAAGGCCAATAAAGGAGGAGATGAAAGAGGGTGAAAGAGGGTGAGGCGGAGGAGGAGGAGGAGGAGGAGGAGGAGGAGGAGGAGGAGGAGGAGGAGGAGGAGGAGGAGGAGGAGGAGGAGGAGGAGGAGGAGGAGGAGGAGGAGGAGGAGGAGGAGGAGGAGGAGGAGAGAGGAGGAGGAGGAGGAGGAGGAGGAGGAGGAGGAGGAGGAGGAGGAGGAGGAGCAGAGAGGAGGAGGAGGAGGAGGAGGAGGAGGAGAGAGGAGGAGGAGGAGGAGGAGAGGAGGCGGAGGAGGCGGAGGCGGAGGCGGAGGCGGAGGAGGAGGAGGAGGAGGAGGAGGAGGAGGAGAGGAGGAGGAGGAGGGAGGAGGAGGAGGAGGAGGAGGACGAGGAGGAGGACGAGGAGGAGGACGAGCGAGGACGAGGACGCGGACGAGGACGAGGACGACGGACGAGGACGAGGACGAGGAGAGAGGAGGAGGAGGAGGAGGAGGGAGGGGGAGGAGAGGAGGGGGAGGAGGGGGAGGGGGAGGGGGAGGGGAGGGGGAGGGGGAGGGGATGAGGAGGGAGGGGGAGGGAGGGGGAGGAGGAGGAGGAGGAAGGAGGAGGAGGAGGAGGAGGAGGAGGAGAGGAGGAGGAGGGAGGAGGAGAGAGGAGGAGGAGGAGGAGGAGGAGGGGAGGAGGAGGAGGAGGAGGAGTGAGGAGGAGGGTAGAGGAGGAGGAGGAGGAGGAGGAGGATGAGGAGGAGGAGGAGGAGAGGAGGAGGAGGAGGAGGAGGAGGAGGAGGGCCAGGCTCGGGGGGGGGATCCAGCGATGCCCAATCGCCCACTGCTCGCCGATACTACGGCATCGTGAGCAGGGCCAGGCTCAGGGGGGGATCCAGCGATGCCCAATCGCCCACTGCTCGCCGATACTACGGCATCGTGAGCAGGGTCAGGCTCGGGGGTGATCCAGCGATTCCCAATCGCCCATTGTTCGCCGATAGTCGGCGGCGAGCGACGGGGGGGGGAGTGAGAAGGAGAGGGCCTTCTCGGAAGGCGGCGGGGCTTCTCAGAAGCCCTCGCGCTTTTGAGAAGTTTTTTGGTCTGCCTTTGGGGAAGGGCCAGAAGACTTCTCAGAAGTCCGGGGGACTTCCGAGCCTTCTGAGAAGGCACGCCCCTGCTAACTTCCCCCCAATGGCTCGCCGCCTACAACCGGCATCGTGAGCAGGGTCAGGCTCAGGGGGGATCCAGCGATTCCCAATCGCCCACTGTTCGCCGATAGGGGCCTGATGACCCACCCTGCTCCGGATCTTCCGGACTCGCTATCGGGTGCGTATCTCTAGGCCTCCTGGATCGGGTCGGAGTAGATGGGGTCGGAGGATCGCGCCGCATCGCCAATGCACTGGCGATAGGGCTCCATGTGGAGCCCGATTTTCTCCACGCCAGCGTCGCCGATGCACCGCCGACGTCACCGATGCATCGGCGATGCGGCGCGATCATCCGGCCCCGTCTACTCGGACCCCATCCATTTGGGAGGCCTCTCAAAACTGGATACACATTCGGTGCTCCGCGCGGATATATTGCATCGGCGTTGGAGCCCCCTCCCTGGCGCGCGGGGCGGCGCTAAAGGCGCCGCCAGGGTGGCTCAGCGCCGATCCTGGACATCTGCGCGGAGCTTGGTAGTCTTCATTGGGACTTCAACACCGCGGAACGATGGAACTGCTGCGTCCTGGCAGTCCGTAGTCGAGCCAGAAGGCCGTTCCTGGGACCCCAGGCGTATGAATCCCCGATTGCTGCAAACGTAAAAAAAGGTAAAACCATGGGCGGTGCTAAGGCGAGAGCCAGACTGTGAAAAGGGCTGCCATCCATCCTTCCTCCTCCTCCTCCTCCTGAAACTGTTGCAGGTTCTGGACGCTTCGCCGCTAGCCAGAGAGTGGAGGAGCATGCAGAGGAACAAAGGGCTGGAGAAACCGTCGTGCCCCAAGAGGCGAGGGAAGGATACGGTATCGGAGGAGGAGGGCGGACGAGGGGGAGAAGGAAGGGGAGGAGGAGGGCGAGGGGGAGGAGGAGGAGGAGGAGGAGGAGGAGGAGGAGGAGGAGGAGGAGGAGGAGGAGGAGGGAGGAGGAGGTGAGGGGAGGAGGAGGAGGAGGAGGAGGAGGAGGAGGAGGAGGAGGAGGAGGAGGAGGGAGGAGGAGGAGGAGGAGGAGGAGGAGGTGGGGAGGGGGAGGGGGAGGAGGACGCGGGGAGGGGGAGGAGGGAAGGGGGGAGGTAGGCGGATGGGGAAGAGGAAACGAAGAGGAGCAGGAGGAGGAGGAGGAGGAGGAGGAGGAGGAGGAGGAGGAGGAGGAGGAGCACGAGGAGGAGGAGGAGGAAGAAGAGGACAATGGCGAGCTTGAGGGCCTCTTGTGGCCGTCTTGGGGGACTCTTGGCGGTGCCAGGGGCCTCTTGCGCATCTCGGGGAGCCTCTTGGGGCCTCTTGGGGGTCTCTTGGGAGCCTCATGTAGGCCTGTTTGGCGCCTCTTGGAGCCTCCTTGGCGCTTCTTGGGTCCCTCCTGGCCAAGGGAGGGAAAACCACCCGGACCAGACAATTGCTGTTTAATAAACGGTCTTGGGCGTTCACTAAAAAGCCCTGCCCTGCTTGGTTCCTTCAGCGGGGGCGTTTAGTAAACGGCCTCGCTTGTCGGGGTGGTTGTTGGGGGGGGGATTTGTTGCCCTCTACCTGGGGCGCTCTTGGGAGCCTTGGGGACGCGCTTGGAGTCGTCTTGGATGATATCGATCAAAGGCTGGGATGGCCGCAATCAGCATTGCCCCTCGAGAGTTCCGAACATCGCCCCTTGGAGCGCTCTTGAGGCGCCCTTGGGCGGTCTTGGGGCCGTCTTGGGGCTCTCTTTGGCCTCCCTTGAGGCTCTCTGGGGCCCTCTTGGAGCTGTACTTGGGCTTCGAAGTGCAATCGAACGCAAAAAAAAGCGAGAAGGTACAATTCATTGAGTGTCCTTTCGTGTTGGAAGGATGTTGGCCTCTTGGCGGCCTCCCTGGGGAGGCTCTTTGGCCATCTGGAGCCGCCTTGGAGTGTCCTTGGGGCCTCTTTGATCATCTTGGGAGCCATCTTGCGATATCTTGAGCAAGGGCTCCCACGAGGGCGCGACGATATTCGCGCTTCGCGGTCCTCGTTCCTTCTCCCCCTCCTCGTCCTCCTTTTCTCCCTTTGTGGGTGGCGGCGCGAGAGCGCGAAGTTATTCGCACTTCGCGCTTCGCGCAGCGCGAAGCGCGAAGTTGGGAGCCTTTGTTGAGCCATCTTGGAGGTCATCTTAGGCTCTCCGAGGTGTTTTTGGAGTCGTCTTGGGCCATCTTGGACGCTCCAACCCGCGAGAACCCCCCCCCTCCACCAGGGGAGGGGGTAAGGAGGAGGGGTACACCCCTCCCCGAAGGGGAAGAAGGGGGTTGGAAGAGTCTGCAATTGGGTGATGGGATTTGCAAGACGAGTGTGCGCGGAGCTGAGGCGAGACAAACATTTTGATAATAAGCCGCCAGCCATCCCTGCAGCTGCTGCATTGATACCAATGTGTGTGTTGCGCTATTGCGAGAGCCAGATTTCGAAAATGCGCCGCCCCCTATCTTTGCAGCACTTGTAAGAACGAATCTGCGCGGCGCTGATGCGAGAGTTACAGCTTGAAAACGGGCGGCCTTAAATCCTCGAGGCCGCTGCAAACTTTTGACAACTGCGCGCGGTCTTCAGTCGAGAGCCAGAGTTTGAAGCCGCCCGCCTTCAGCTTTACAATTGTTGCAAATTTCAAGCTTCAGGTTCATACGTGGTGAGGAAGTCTCAGGCGGAACGCCCCGCCCGTCCTGCGGACACGTCTGGGGGTGCGACAGGCGGGGTGGGTGGGGGCAATTTACAAGGAGGAGGGATGGATGAGGAGGAGGAGGAGGAGGAGGAGGAGGAGGAGGAGGAGGACGAGGAAAACGAGGAGGAGGGAGGAGGGGGAGGGGGGAGGAGACGAGGAGGTAGGACGAAGAGGAGGAGGAGGAGGAGGAGGAGGAGGAGGAGGAGGATAAGGAGGGGGAGGGGGAGGGTGAAGGAGGGAGGAGGAGAAGGAGGAGGATGAAGGAGGAGGAGGAGCAGCAGGAGGAGGAGGACCAGCAGGAGGGGGGGAAGGAACAGGTCGACTGATCCCCCCCCCCTGCCAAGCCGACTCGCGAGTTGCCGTGCTTTTTGTTTCTTCTCGAGGGGGCGCTGCGGCCGCGGCGGCTGCTGGCGCGGGGTCCCGTCCCAGGGCGTTTTTTTTACACCGGGGGCTGCTCTGCCAGAGAGGGCCCCCTGCCCGCCGACAGCACGGATGGGGGGTGCCGTAGAGGCGGGAGGGACGGGCAGGGGACGAAACATCGAGTCCTTTCCCAGAGATCCAACGTATTGAAAAAAACATGACGCAGGTTTTTCGTATTTTTCGGCCTCGAGGGACCCTCGCCGGGCCCCGGGACCGTCAAAAAACGACTCAGGATGAAAAACCGGTCCTGGGGAATGGGTCGAGACTTCCAGGGACCCCGCATTGAAACAATCACGACATCGGATCTCTGGGTTCGTCTTCGACCCCGACCCCCGCCCCCATCCCCTGATTTCAAAGTTGGCTTCGGCCTCCCGGAGGCCCAGGAGGTGCACCGTTGTTGTCCTCCCACGCCTGTGCTGCCGAAAGCTTGGGGCCAACTTTGAATTTTGGGGGATGGTGGGGGGGGCGCGGTGTCAAGGGTTGCATCTGATCACCTTTCTGTCCATCTACAAGAGGACAAGTGAATACATGTTGGCCTGGTTGCGTCGGGGAGGCTTTAGTCGATCGCGCGTTGGGCTGGATGGTTCGCGGGGGCCTGGTGTCTGTGTCTCTGCAGAAGGCGAAACGAACGAGACAGCACAGGAGCTGCGGGAAAAGCAGCTGCTGCAAACGCCGTGGCCGAGTTCTGGGCAGCCCCCCTGGCGCCGTGGGGCGGCCCAAGGAGTTCTTGTTGAACAGGCAGTTCCTGGCGGACTACGACGACTACCTGGAGGGCAGGGCCGGGGCGGGCAGGCGGCGGGGGCGGGCGCCGGCAGATGGGGAGCACACCTGTCCCGCAGAGGTGGGGTGCGTGGGTCGCAGGCAGCAGACCTGTGGACCGCTGCGGACAGGAGCGAGGAGCGCATCTGAGCGACGCAGCACAATGGGTTCGACTGCGCGGTCCTGCGCGCGTAGGCTGCTTGCGTGAGGCCGCGCGCAAGTGCCCCCGTTTCTGGTGCAGCGTGCCGCACTGGCGGCCCGCGCAGGCCGCCGCGGAGGGCGTCACGCCATCTCGCGCAGGGCCCCTTTCGTTTCGTTGATCCTTTGGGAGGCCCCTGCCTGGGGTGCCGTGGCACCCTCCCTGGAGCCTCCCCGAAGCCTTCGTTAGGGGAGCGAAGAATGGCATGAACGTAGAAACTCGGAGGTCCGCGCGCCGCCCCTGGCGCGGGTCCGAGGATTCCGCGCGGACCTCCGAGTTCTCTTATGCTTATGCCAGTCTTCGCTCCCCGAGATTCGGATGCAACTCCTGGGAGGTCAAGTTCTGTTTTCGCCCTGGTCCGAAAGCCGGCTTAATCCAGCTTGATCCCGCTTAATGCGGCTCAATCCGGCTTAATCCCGCTTGATCCAGCTTTATCCTGCTTAGTCCGAGGCCCGCTGCGGCGCAACAGCTCCCAAATGGGGCTGAATCCTCTTTAATCTTTCCGACGAAAACCTCCCAGCAGTTGCCGCCTAATATTCCCCCCAAACGGTCTCCTGGCGCGCGGAGCGCGCGCGCCAGGGGCCGATCCTCCAAGAGATGCACGCGGGGCTCCAAGAGTTTGCGCTCGTGCGGTGTCGGCTCCTTCGGCTCCTTGCTCGCTCCGACTCAGAGCGTGAATTACCTACCCCGCTTTCGCTTCCAGGAAAAACCAAGGCATACCACGCGCCTCCTCGTCAAGCGGCCTGACCAGTACAGGCCGTAGTTTGGCATCGCTTGGTATTTCTTGGAAGCGAGGGTGGTCAAAAGCGAGGTAGGTTTGTTTGCCCCTACCGACGGCAACCTCCCAGTGGTGCAGAGGTGCGAAGTTTGGCGTGCTGTGGCCAGCGCCGCAGAGCTGGCCTCCTCCCTGGAGGCAGCGCGAGGGCACGACCTGAGCCCGAGGTGCCAGAGGCCCGCAGCAGAGGGCCGGGCATGCTCCAGGGGTGCCCGTGCGCCCTCGCCCCCTTCGTCCGTGCCCGAGAGGGCGAAAACCCACCCCCACCCCGAGTCCCGACCCCATTTCCGAGCCCTCGATCCGGGGGGTCGGGGCTGGGGGTGGGGGTGGGCTTTCGGGGTCCAGGAACAGAGAAAGCCCGCCCCCATCCCCCAGTCCCGACCCCCCAGATCGCGGGCTCGGGGGTGGGCGTCGGGACTGGGGTGTGGGGGTGGTTTCTCGCCTCCTCAGTGCCTCCTGCCCTCCTCGGCCCAGCTGGTGGTGCCCCTCCAGGGGCCTCCTGCCCTGGCGTCGACTCCGAGGCCCACGGCGCGCAGGCCGGTGGCCGACGGCGCTTCGGCGCGCCCGCCGCCCTTCGGGGGCCCGCGGCGTGGCGCGCCGCCGCGTGGCGCGCGGCGGCCCGCCCGCGCCGTGGGGCCCCACTGCGGGCACTTGGCATCACTCGGACGTGTGCGTTTTTTTCCTTCGGCGAGGACCATCGAGGAGCATCCTTAATCATTTGGCGAAAAAAGAATAACCACGCACGACACCGAACAAAAGCACAGGGAATGGACGTCCGAGCGATGGCCAGGGCAGGACTTGTGTCCATATCCACTGCAGCCTGGGGGTTCGGGCTCCCTCCCCCAGAAGACCGAGGAGCACTGGACATGGAGAAGAAACAAACATCGGGCCCCTACTGGAGGCTCGCATTGTATCCATATCCTGTGCGCCTCGGCCCATGCCCTGGATGTGGATATAAATGTTGCCCGCGCCCACGCCGCGGGGGCCCGAGAGCTCCGCGCGGGCCTCCGAGTCTTCACGTTTCGGTGCTGCTTCGTCCCCCCAGTAAAGAGTCGGGTTGACCCACAAGGGGGCCCAGAGACCCAACGTATTGAAAATCAGCCTGACGAAGGACCCAACCATATGCAGGTGTGAGTACCGCAATTGTGATTCACTTTATCGGTGGTGCTCCCTATGAGGCAACGAACCGTGCTAGGGGTGTGTCGAAATGAGTGGCGTGGTACACAACGCGAACGAAAACGAACAACATAATGCGGACTGCGCCACGGGGACCTTCGGTGGGGCTCCAGATGGGGCCACGAAACGCTGTACTGGGTGAGGGAGACGCATGCGGACTGCGCCACGGGGACCTTCGGTGGAGTCCCCTATGGGGCCACGAAGCGTGTGAGGGGTGCGCCGAAATGAGTGGCGGGGACGCATGCGGACTGTGCCACAGGGACCTTCAGCGGAGCTCCTGTTGGGCCACGAAATGAAGGGTGTGCCGAAATGAGTGGCGGGGACGCATGCGAACTGTGCCACTGGGACCTTCGGCGGAGCTCCCTATGGGGCCACGAAACGTGTGAGGGGTGTGCCGACATGAGTGGCGGGGACGCATGCGAAGTGTGCCACTGGGACCTTCGGCGGGGCTCCTATGGGGCCACGAAACGTGTGAGGAGTGTGCGGAAATGAGTGGCGGAGCGCATGCGAAGTGTGCCACTGGGACCTTCGGCGGAGCTCCTATGGGGCCACGAAACGTGTGAGGGGTGTCCCGAAATGAGTGACGGGGACGCATGCGGACTGTGCCACTGGGACCTTCGGAGGGGAGCTCCTATGGGGCCACGGAACGTGTGAGGGGTGTGCCGACATGAGTGGCGGGGACGCATGCGAACTGTGCCATTGGGACCTTCGGCGGGGCTCCTATGGGGCCACGAAACGTGTGAGGGGTGTGCCGAAATGACTGGCGGGGACGCATGCGAACTGTGCCACTAGGACCTTCGGCGGGGCTCCTATGGGGCCACGAGACGTGTGAGGGGTGTGCCGAAATGACTGGCGGGGACGCATGCGAAGTGTGCCACTGGGACCTTCGGCGGAGCTCCTATGGGGCCACGAAGCGTGTGAGGAGTCTGCCGAAATGAGTGGCGGGGACGCATGCGAACTGTGCCACTGGGACCTTCGGCGGAGCTCCTATGGGGCCACGAAGCGTGTGAGGGGTGTGCGGAAATGAATGGCGGGGACGCATGCGAATTGTGCCGCTGGGACCTTCGGCGGAGCTCCTATGGGGCCACGAAACGTGTGATGGGCGTGCCGGAATGAGTGGCGGGGACGCATGCGAACTGTGCCACTGGGACCTTCGCAGGGGAGCTCCTATGGGGCCACGGAACGTGTGAGGGGTGTGCTGAAATGAGTGGCGGGGACGCGTGCGAACTGTGCCACTGGGACCTTCGGCGGAGCTCCTATGGGGCCACGAAACGTGTGAGGGGTGTGCCGAAATGAGTGGCGGGACGCATGCGAAGTGTGCCACTGGGACCTTCGGCGGAGCTCCTATGGGGCCACGAAACGTGTGATGGCTGCCGAAATGAAGTGGCGGGGACGCATGCGAACTGTGCCACTGGGACCTTGGGGGGAGCTCCTATGGGGCCACGGAACGTGTGAGGGGTGTGCCGAAATGAATGGCGGGGACGCATGCGAAGGTGCCACTGGGACCTTCGGCGGAGCTCCTATGGGCCACGAAACGTTGTGATGCCGAATGATGGCGGGGACGCATGCGAAGTGTGCCACTGGGACCTTCGGCGGAGCTCCTATGGGGCCACGAAACGTGTGAGGGGTGTGCCGACATGAGTGGCGGGGACGCATGCGAACTGTGCCGGTGGGACCTTCGGCGGACAGCTCCAATGGGGCGCGGGGACGCATGCGAAGTGTGCCACTGGGACCTTCGGCGGAGCTCCTACGGGGCCACGAAGCGTGTGAGGGGTGTGCCGACATGAGGCGGGACGCCATGCGAAGTGCCACTGGGACCTTCGGCGGAGCTCCTATGGGGCCACGAAGCGTGTGAGGGGTGTGCCGAATGAGTGCGGGGACGCATGCGAACTGTGCCACTGGGACCTTCGGGCGGCGGAGCTCCAATGGGGCCACGAAACGTTGACGACGTGATGATGATGATGCTGACGTGATGGTGATGATAATGCTGATGATGATGCTGTGCTGATGATGATGATGATGATGATGATGATGATGATGATGATGATGATGATGATGATGATTATTGTGGTGGTGGTGGTTGTGATGATGATGATGAGGATGATGAGGAGGATGAGGAGGATGAGGAGGATGAGGAGGATGAGGATGATGATTTTGACGATGATGATGATGATGCTGCTGATGATGATGATGATGATGATGATGATGATGATGATGATGATGAGGATGAGGATGAGGATGAGGATGAGGATGAGGATGAGGAGGAGGAGGAGGAGGAGGAGGAGGAGGAGGAGGAGGAGACGCGGGGACCGTCTCTTCAAAACGAGGACCCAACAACACAGGTTGGTTGGGAAAAAATCAAGGCGGCTGATTTTCGCAATTTTCGGCCCCGAGGGGCGGACCGTCAGGAAACAATTCAGGATGAAAACCTGGTCCTGGGGAATGGGTCGAGACTTCTGGGGTCCCCGTATCGAAAAAATCACGGCATCGGATCTCTGGGTTCGCCCCCCCAGGAGAGAGTCGGGTTGACCCACAAGGGGGTCCAGCGACAAGGGGGTGCGAGAGATTCGTGGTGTCGCAAGACAGTTGGGGCGTGCAGTGCACTCCGGGACGAACGTGTATTGTTGGACTTTCGCGTGCAATGCTTGAGTTGCAATACAATGCAAAGCAATTTTCTTGCGCAGTACCTTTGCAACACAATCGCCTCAAACCTATTGCACCACCCTTTTCAGCTGGACCCCCTTTTGGGTCACCCAAAGAGAGTCAGCTCAGTTCCCAGGCCCCCGACGTCATGACCTTTGCCTGGCGTCGACCCCCAGGGATCCCCAGGAGGTCCGATGCCGTGATGTTTTTCTCAATGCG